CGCACGCCCGGAACCCCGGCCGATCCCGGACCCCGAGACCCTGTGTCTCCAAGCAGCCAGCGAAAAGCCACGCAGGCGCTGTGGCTCAGGAGGTCCAGCACCAGAATGAGCAAAAAGCAAAAGCCAGGAGCGCCCAGCGCCAAAGCAAAAGCAAAACCCCCAGGGGTGCTCAGGAGGCTGCGGCCCGAGGATCGCGGTTCGAGGCCAGCCCGGCACGCACACACTCCGTTCCAGCCCTAGTGAACCTGCATCCGCCACACACGCACGAGTCACAGCCGCATGGCGCCTTCCCCGACACACACACCCCCCGCTGGGGACCCCCCAGACCCCCCGCGCCCCTCACCAGCCAGCAGCACACAGACACGCACGCACCGCCACGCTCTCCCAGAGCGATCAGACACTCGGAGCAGGCCTGTGTGGGCAGACCTGCTCTCCACGCATGCCTGAGGCTGCCCCGTGGTGCTCAGCCAAGTGGGTTCTGTGCTGACCTGACTTATTCCCTACAGAGCCCCATCGGGACTGGACGGACAGGCTCTCCCAACCAGGCTGGGCTCTGGGTGAAGATGGACCTGCCCGCATCTGCTCAGGGAACCAGCTAGAACAAGACAGAACTATCTGTCCACATACTATCCACAGTACGGGTAGCTCACGCCTGTAATCCCAGCCTCTCGGGAGGTGGAGATCTGAGGATGGAGAGTCAAAGCCAGCCCAGGGCAGGAAAGTCTGTGAACTGTTACCACCCATGAACCCACAAAAAGCCAGAAGTGGCACCTGTGGTTCAAGAGGTAGAGCGCCAGGCTTGAGTACAAAATGCTCAGGGACAGTGCCCAGGCCCCGAGTTCAAGCCCCAGGACCAGGAAAAAAAAAAAAAGCCAAAATATACATACTGAGCCACAGCACCACTTCGGGTTTTTCTGTGTCTGTGGTACTGAGGAATCGAACCCAGGGCTTCATGCATGCTTAGTGAGCGCTCTACCACTGAGCCACCTTCCTAGCCCTCTTTTGTTTTCTGCCACTGTTTCTGGGGCTTGAACTCAGGGCCTCTCTTGCTTGCTTGGCTGGTGCTATACCACTTGAGCCACGCTTCCAGTCCAGTTTTTTGCTGCTGTGTTTGCTGGTTCACTGGAGTCTCATAGACGTATCTGCCTCGGCTGACCTTCACACTGGGATCCTCTAAGTCTCAGCCTCCTGAGTAGCCGGGATTACAGGCATGCGCTCTACTGCCCCGGCTGAATGTTAATGTCATGGTGACCGTGAACTCTGTCCCACACAGCAGCCATGAACCCCTGGGGCTGACTTAATTCAGGAATGGCGCTGGAGGGTGAATTTCCTGTTTAAGAACTTAAAACAGAGCTGAGTCTGACTGAGGTAGCATAGGAACTTTCCTCACACCAAATTGGTCAAAAGGAAGGTGCGCCCCAGACTGACAGAAATCAAGTGTGCTTTAGAAATTGGCATTGAAAGCAATTTTTTTTTTTAATGCCAGTACTGGGGTTTGAACTCAGAGCCCGAGCATCAGCTTGGAGCACAAAAACTTGAGCCACACCTCTACTTTCGGCCTTTTTGGTGGTTCCTTGGACATAAAGAGGCTCACCAACTTTCCTGCCCAGGCTGGCTTTGAACCGGGATCCTCAGATCTCAGTCTCCTGAGTAGTGGGGATGCCAGGCTCATACAGGTGCACCAGTGCCCAGCTCCCCTTCCTCCCTGCCCCCATGTTTGCTGGTTATTTTGGAGATGGAGTCTCATGAATTTTTCTACCCATGCTGACCATGAACTGTGATCCTCTGGATTTCAGCCTCCTGTGTGGCTGGGTGGGATTATAGGCATTAGCTCCCTGTGGGCCCCATGTGTTTTGTTTTGTTTTGTCAGTTGTGGGGCTTGAACTCTGGGCCTGGGCGCTGCCCCTCGGCTCTTCAGCTCAAAGCTAGGGCTCTACCACTTGAGCCACAGCGCCACTTCCGGTTGTCTGGGAGATCAGAGTCTCATGGAGTTTCCTGCCCAGGCTGGCTTTGAACCGCGATCCTCAGATCTGTGTCCTGAGTAGCTGGGATAACAGGTGGGAGCCACCGTCGCCCGGCTTGGCAGGTTCTTTATAGTAACTCTAGGGGTGTGGAGCTCACTTTCAGCTTGGGGAGAAAGGAGGGAGGGACGGACAGGGATAACAAAGACACCTGCAAGCCTTCTGAGGTGTAAGTCTCTTGGGAGCACGCCCTCCGTGATTGCTTTTGGCAGTACCTGGATTTGAACTCAGCACCTCCCGTGTGCCTGGGAAGCCCTCTACCACTTGAGCCACGCCTCCAGCTCCGGCCCAGAACGCCCCAATGATGGACCTTCTTCCCAAGGAAGTTAGTGGTCCCAGAGGATAGAGATTCCCTGGAGCCAGGCTCATATCCCTCTAGCCACGCCCACTACGCTGATCACGCCCACTATTCCTTTAGCCACGCCCACCATTTGGCTACTCACGATGATAGCTATGCTTGTATTCCATTAGCCACGCCCACTGCTCTTTAGCCACGCCCACCAGTACTCTGGCCACGCCCACTACTGTGGCCATGCTCGTATCGCTCTAGCCACGCCCACTAAGCTGATCACGCCCACTGTTCCTTTAGCCACGCCCACCATTTGGCTACTATTATGGCCATACTTGTATGCCATTAGCCACGCCTACTGCTTTTTAGCCATGCCCACTGTTACCCTGGCCACACCCACTACGGTAGCCACCATATTCATTTAGCCACGCCCACCAGTAATCTGGCCCTCCCACTACTGTAGGCATGCTCATATTCCTTTAGCCACGCCCACTACCGTAACTACGCCCACTGCTCCTTTAGCCACGCTCACCATTACTCTGGCCACTTCCACCACTGTAGCCCTGCTCATAGCTCATATTCTGTTAGCCACGCCCACTACCGTAACCACGCCCACTGCTCCTTTAGCCATGCCCACTATTACTTTGGCTACGCCCACTATCAGAGCCAGGCTCATATTCCGTTGGCCACGCCCACTGCTCCTGTAGCCTCGCCCACCGATACGTAGCCACTCCCACAACAGTAGCCACGATTCCTTTAGCCACGCCCACTGCGCCATTGGCCACGCCCCGTAGCCATCCCGCCCCTGGCCGCCCCTCGCGCGTCGCAGGCTGCGTACGTACTGGAGTTCCGGTGGGCGCTGGCCAGGCTGTGTCCCGCCATCTCGGGGGGCGGCTGGTGGCCCCGGTGCAGGAACTGCTGGGAGCTGAGCACGTGGCTGGGATGAGCGACGCGGTTCATGCTGTGCAGGACGTTCACCTGGGCAGAGGGGGGCTCCGTGGGCACCCTGCTTCTCCTCCCGGCCCCCTCCCCAGTGCAGCTCCCCGCTGGGGTGTGGATGGCTTTGCTGTCCCTCAGCTCTTCAGCTCAAGGCTGGCGCTCTACCCCTTGAGCCACAGCGCCACTTCCAGTTTTCTGGGGGTTCATGGGAGATCAGAGTCTCACGGACTTTCCTGCCCGGGCTGGCTTTGAACCTCGATTGTCAGCTATCAGCCTCCTGAGTGGCTGGGATGACAGGCGAGCGCTAAGGTGCCCGTCCCTTAACTATGGTCCTCCTCCATCTCCTTCCTCCACCTCCCCACTGAGGAGCTGCGATGCTCCCCGGGTCCCCCCCCCATCGCTGGGGGCCCCCGGCGCCCCCAGGGAAGGAGGACGGACCGTACCTCCACCACGAACTCGTTGCTGGAGTAGCGGCCGTTCATCTCGGAGCAGGAGAGACGGAACTTGCGGGCGTACAGGGCGGCCCCGCGCTGCAGCCGGTACCGGGCCTGCCTCAGGATCTCCTCGTACACCGTGATGCTCTCCACCCCTGCGGGGGGGGGGGCAGCTCAGGCCCGGGGGCCCCAAAGCCCGGGCCTCCCGGGAGCAAATGCACCCCCGCCCCTGCAAACCCGGGTCTCCTGGGAGCAAAGCCCCCCAGCCCCTGCAAACCCGGGCCTCCCGGGAGCAGATGCACCCCAGCCCCTGCAAACCCGGGCCTCCCGGGAGCAGATGCACCCTAGCCCCTGCAAACCCGGGCCTCCCGGGAGCAGATACACCCCCGCCCCTGCAAACCCGGGCCTCCTGGGAGCAGATACACCCCCGCCCCTGCAAACCCGGGTCTCCCGGAAGCAAATGCACCCCAACCCCTGCAAACCCGGGTCTCCCGGAAGCAAATGCACCCCAGCCCCTGCAAACCCGGGCCTCCCGGGAGCAGATGCACCCCAGCCTCCCACCCCACCCTTCCAGGCGGGGGAATCCAGGACTGAGGTGCTGTGGCTGCTGGGTAGGAGTGGAAAGGCTGAAGGACGCCGCGGGGAAAGGAAGGGAGAAGCAGGGAAGTGGGGGTACAGGGGCTCAGTGCAGACACCCCACACTACACTACATCTCAACCTCGGCTCTGGGGGACCTGCAGAGACCAGCAGGCGGTGCCTGGCCACGCCCACAACCCCACTAGCTCCGCCCACTGCGCCTATAGGCACGCTTAGATTCATCTAGCCACGCCCACTGTTCCTGAGCCACGCCCGTTATGTTGACCACTCCCACTACTATAGCCATGCTTATATTTCTTTAGCCACGCCCACGGCTTCATTGGCCACGCCCACTATTTGGCCACCCCCCCCCCTAGAGCCATGCTCATCTTCCTTTAGCCGCGCCCACTGTCCCTTTAGCCACGCCCACTATTACTTTGGTCACTCCCACTACTATAGCCACGCTCGTATGCCTTTAGCCCCGCCCACTGTCCCTTTAGCCACGCCCACCACTGATTCATTCACCCACATCTTTTTTCATCCGTTTCCATCATTTGCTTAGCCACGCCCACCGGTCCTTAGCCACGCCCACCGTTCCGTAGCCACGCCCGCCGTTCCGTAGCCACGCCCACCGTTCCGTAGCCACGCCCGCCCGCATGGACACACACGCGCGCGCGCGCTCCCAGGCTCTGGGCCGCACTGACCCGCGATGGTGAGGTAGGCGGACGTGTTGGTGAGCTCCAGGCCGCGCTGCTGCGCGCTCGCCGTGTCCAGCAGCAGGCTCTCCCGCTCGGGGTCCAGGTCGTCCCCCACCAGCGAGATCTCGCAGCCGTCCAGGTTGTGCACGATCTCATCCGACATGCGCGTGTCCGTCACTGCGCGGGGAGGGGCGGGGCGGGGCCGAGGCCAGCCCCGAGGGCCCGGGTCATCTCCCCCCTCCCCTCCCGAGGACTCTGCCTGTGCGCGTGTGTGCGCATGCGTGCAAGCACCAGTCCCGGGACTTGAACTCAGGACCTGGGCGCTGTCCCTTAGCTTTGTTGGCTCCTGGCTGGCGCTCTACCATCTGAGCCACAGCCCCACGTCCGGCTTCAGGCTGGCTACATCTTTTGGGTTGACCCTCAGATCTCAGCCTCCTGGGTAGCTAGGATTACAGGCGTGAGCCACGGCGCCCGGCGTTTCTTTGGGGGTGGGGTGGGTCCCTGGACATCAGACCCCTGGCTTCCCCAGCCTCTCTTTTTGTCCTTTGGTTGATTGGTTCTTTTTGTTTACATCAATACTGGGTGTTAGACTCAGGGCTTCGGAACGTTCTGGGCTAGGCACTCTACCGCTTGAGCCACGCCTCCAGCCCCTTTTGGCCTGGGTTAGTTCCAAAGTAAGAGTCTCCCCTTGTGCCCAAGGCTGACTTGGACCGTGATCCTCCTGTTTGTTCGTCCCTACAGCTCAGATGACGGGAGTGAGCTACTGACTCGGCCCGGCCTCGAATCCCAGTCCTCGGATCCCGGCCTCCCTAGTACTGAGGGGGTTCTAGGCGTGAGCCCCGACGCCCCACGGGCTCCACCCCGTGAGGACACCAACCCCGCCCGCGTCCGTCCCGGGAGCGACCGGGCTTACCTGTGCCCTGCCAGCTTTCGTCTCCTTTGGCCTCTACCTGGTGTGAAATGGAGCAAGTGATCTGGAGATCGGGGAACAGGGGGACCCCGTCGGGCTCCTCGAAGTCCGCAGCCGGCCGGGCAAAGTGGGAGGTCCCACTCAGCAGGATCTGGGGGGCATCGGGCTGCAGCACCACCACGTAGCCCTCCACCTCCGGGATGGACACACACGACTCCTCGCTGAAGCACCTGGGGGGGAGGAGGCCAGGATCGCCGGTTCAAAGCCAGCCTGGGCAGGAAAGTCCGTGAGACTCTGATCTCCCACGAACCACCAGAAAACCGGCAGTGGTGCTTGGTTCAAGTGGTAGAGCGCCAGCCTTGAGCACCAAAGCTCAAGGCCCTGAGTTCAAGTCCGAGGATACACACACACACACACACACACACACAGCTCTATAATCTCAGGACCTTCAGGAAAGTATTAAGGGGTCACAACTATGTGGTAACCCCAAACGTGTAGAAAAGAGGGTGCCCTTTCTTCACCTCATAATCCCAGCGACTTTGGAGATGGAGATCAACCGGGAAGATTGAGGTTTGGAGGCCAGCCTGGGCCTGGAGACACCGCCATCTCAACAAGTGAGCCGGGCTTGGCGGGACACACCTGTAAGCCGAGCTATGCCAGGTAAGTTGATAGGCGGACGACAGACCAGGCTGAAAGCAAAGGCCCAGCCCTCTCTGCAGGGCGTGAAGACGCGGCTCTGAGTGCTGACTGGTGCGTGGTGGGGTGCGGGGTCCCCCGGAAGTCACCCTCCAAAGCTGGATGCTTTGGAGAAGTCGAGGCAGAGCCCACGGAGCCTGTAATGGCGCGGGCTGCCATCGACTCAACGGCCGGGTCCTCAGATCTCCAGCAAGCCGCCGGCCTCTGGTTAGACTGGGTGAGCACTCTGAGTCTGTCTGTGCTGCAGGCGGGCGCTCTACCGCCTGAGCCACGGCGCCCCTTGCGGTTTTTCTGGGGGTTCCTGGGAGATCAGAGTCTCCCGGACTTTCCTGCCCGGGCTGGCTTTGAACCTCGATCCTCCGATCTCAGCCTCCTGAGTCGCTGGGATTATAGGCGTGCGCACCGGCGCTCGGCCAACATCGCTATGACACATCGCCTTCTCCAGGTCCTCATTGGGGACACAGAGAGAGAGAGAGGGCATAGGGCTAGATCTGTGGGGGGACAGGCACCGGGGGTCCAGCCCCGGGGCCGGGCCGTGGGACTCACTTGACCGCGGTGGTCAGACGCAGCGGCCTGACGCCGGGCGTGGCGAAGCGCAGCGTGTTCATGTAGTCCACGTGCTGCAGGGCGTGGTTGAAAGTCTCCACGTCGTCGCCTTCCAGGGTGAGCAGGGACTGCGAGGGGTTCACGTGGACCTGGGACACAGACCAGAGATGGGGTCGCAGAGAAAGGTAGGTGTGTGGGGGGGAGGGGGGTCCAGGGGCATGCTGGGAAGAGGTGGGCTGGGGGGAGGGAGGGAGGGAGGGTCCAATACCTTCATGCCTTTTCCCAGGTTCTCGAAATCTCTATAATCCAGCCCCTCCCGGCATGCATACAGACACTGGATGACCGCCCGGTTCTCCAGGTGGCCGGCCCGCACACTGAACCCCGCCAGGTAACCGTGGAAATAGTGGTGGACCGGCAAGGGGTCTCCTAGGGTAGGAACACAGGGGCGGTGGGTGGGGTGGGGGGGGAGACAGGGCGGGGAGGGACGGCCGCACGCCTGTAATCCCAGCCACACACGCAGAATTCCAAAGGGGGGGAAAACACCAGAGAGACACCAAGGAGACTCCGAGGAAACCAGCAAGCCAAAAGGCGGCGGCTCGGGTGGCAGAGCGCCAGCCTCGAGCACACCCCGAAAACAACCCTCAGAGTCAGCCCCCCGGCCCTGAGTTCGAGACTCTCTCCCCCCATAATAAACACATGACTATTAGAACATAATTGTCGCCGCTGAGGATCCAACCGCAGGCGGCCCGGCCCGGCGTGGGTACGTCAGTGAAGGGGAGCTGGGGAGGATTTCGGGGGGAACGGGGGTCCGGGAGCGAGGGGTCCGCACCTTCCCAGAGGAGTGAACCCCGACCTCCCCTTCCACCCCCGCCATACCTGGGGCGGCCTCGGTGGCGTTGTCTCCTTTTTCCTTCTTGTTCTCCTCTGCGACCCCAGAAAATAAAACAGTTGGGAGCTCAGGACTACGGGGACAAGATGGACAAATACATGCAGTCCCCCCCCTCCCCATTTTCTAGAACCTTCTCAGGCCCCTGGAAGACGTACAGCCTCTTTGCTGAGTCTCAACCTGTTTGGTTGTTTAAGCAATAGAAGATGAGCTGGGGCGCAGTGGCTCCCGCTTGTCATCCCGGCTACTTGGGAGGCTGAGATCTGAGGATTGAGGTTCAAGGCCAGCCCGGGCAGGAAAGGCCCCGAGACTCTGCCGGAGACCTCAGCTGCACAGAAAGGCTGCCATGGCTCCTCCCCTCGCCACCCGAACCTCCCCGGGGTCGTCTTCTCCCAGGGCGAGGGCCCCACCGGTCCAGCAGGCCCCGATCATGAGCGCCGGGTCCCTCCGCGGCGGGTGGATCAGGCCATTGTCGTGGATGAGCGCGGGGTCGAAGGAGATGCCGTCGGTGTACAGGGTGACCGTGGGGAACTCCAGGTTCAGGGCGTAGTGATGCCATCCATCATCGCAGACCTGGGGGTGCAGGGGGCCCCCCACACCGTGATCGCCCCTCCAGAGACCGGGCCCCCGCGGGCCCGCCGCTCCGGGGAAGGAGAGTCAGGCTGGAAGCGTCTCAGTTCCCAGCCTGCTCCGCTCGAGGAGGAACATGCTCCGACCAGCGCCGGCGCTCACGCCTGCCGTCCCAGCCGACCGGAGGCTGAGGTCGGAGGCTCAAGGCTCGAAGCCAGCCCAGGCAGGAAAGTCCCCGAGATTCTCATCGCCAACCAGCCAGCCCAAAGCAGGGCTGTGGGCGAGTTCCAGAGGTAGAGCACCAGCCGAGGCCCCGAGTTCAAACCCCAGCAGCTCCCCAAGAAAAGACGTGACCTTTCCTTCCGGCCCCAGGGTGCCGAGAACACAAGGGAGCCCAGAGGATGTGGCGAGGACGGCTGGGGGCTGAACCCCCAAAATGCCAGCCTCATCCCTGGGCCTTCCAGAAACCCCACCCTCCTGCAAGCCAGTCACCCAGCACTGAGCACCCAGCACCAGGCAGTGAACATGGAGCACCAAACACCCAGCACTGGACACAGGCACTGAGCACCAAGCACTGAGCACCAAGCACTAGGCACCAAGCACTGAACACAGAGCTCTAAGCAATTGTCACCAGGCACTAAGCACTGAGCACTGGGCACCAGACACTGAGTACTAAACACTAAACACCAATCATTGGGCGCCAGGCACTAAGCACCAAGCACTGAGTACCAAGCACTAGGCACCAGGCACTAAACACCAAGCAGTGGGCACCAAGCACTGAGTACTAAGCACTGAACACCAGGCACTGGGCTCCAGGCATGGCAGACCAAACACTGAGTACTGAGCACTAAACACCAAGCACTGGTGCCAGGCACTAAGCACCAAGCACTGAGTACCAAGCACTAGGCACCAGGCACTAAACACCAAGCACTGAGTACTAAGTACTGAACACCAAGCACTGGGCTCCAGGCACTGCGCACCAAGCACTGAGTACTAAACACCAAGCACTGGGTGCCAGGCACTAAGCGCCAAGCACTGGGTCCCAAGCATCAGACACCAAGTACCAAGCAGCAAGCACCAGGCACCGAGCACCAAGTACCAGGAATCAAGCAGCGAGCACTAGCCTCACCTGCTCCAGCTTCCACAGGAACTTGACCGGGCGGGCGCTGTCGAGCAGGGGCCAGTAGAGGAAGGCGATTCGGCAGCCGTGGACCGTCAGCGAGTAGTGCGAGAAGCCGTCCTCTGAGGAGACAGCCCGGGGTCAGCGGTCAGAGGTCAGGGGTCAAGTGCAAGGCCCAGGGCCAGAGCAAGTTCAAAGCCACAGTGGGTGATCTTGGGCACACTGTCCCCACGCTCCTCACACCGTGGGGACCCGCGGGCCGTCTGCACGTGCGTCTGCGTCTGTCTCTGTCTTTTGTTTTGTTTTGTTCATCATGGGGCTTGAACTCAGGGCCTGGGCGCTGTCCCTCAGCTCTTCAGCTCAAGGCTGGCGCTCTACCACTTGAGCCACAGCACCACGTCTGGTTTTCTGGTGGTTCATTGGAGATCAGAGTCTCACGGACTTCCCTGCACAGGCTGGCTTTGAACCGTGATCCTCCGATCTCAGCCTCCTGAGTAGCTGGGATGACAGGCGGGAGCTACCAGAGCCCAGCCCTGTCTGTCTGTCTATGTCTGTGTCTGTCTCTGTGTGTGTGTCTGTCTGTGTGTATCTGTCTCTGTCTGTCTGTGTCTGTCTTCTCTGTCTCTGTCTGTCTATCTGTCTGTCTCTGTGTCTGGCTGTGTCTGTGTCTGTGTGTCTGGCTCTATCTGTGTCTGTTTGTCTGTGTCTGTCTGTCTGTGTCTGTCTGTCTGTCTTTGTCTGCTTATGTCTGTCTCTGTCTTTGTTTGTGTCTGTCTGTGTCTGTCTGTCTGTGTCTGTCTGTGTCTGTCTTTGGCTGTCTGTGTCTGTCTGTGTCTGTCTGTCTTTGTCTGTCTGTCTGTCTGTGTTTGTCTGTCTTTGTGTCTGTCTGTGTCTTTGTCTGTCTGTGTGTGTCTGTCTGTCTCTGTCTTTGTCTGTCTGTGTCTGTCTGTCTGTCTCTGTCTTTGTCTGTCTGTCTTTGTCTGTGTGTGTCTGTGTGTGTCTGTCTTTGTCTGTGTGTCTGTGTGTGTCCATCTGTATGTGTGTGTCTGTCTTTGTCTGTGTGTGTCTGTGTCCGTCTGTCTGTGTGTGTCTGTCTGTCTTTGTCTGTGTGTGTCTGTCTGTGTGTGTCTGTCTGTCTCTGTCTGTCTATCTTTGTCTGTGTGTGTGTCTGTCTGTGTGTGTCTGTGTCCGTCTGTCTGTCTGTCTTTGTCTGTGTGTGTCTGTGTGTGTGTGTCTGTCTGTCTGTGTCTGGCAGGTTTAGGGGTTCACGTGGTGTTGGCAGCGGCTCCCGCCCAGGCCTCTCGGGTCCGTTACTAATTCTGGCACCGTGGCTGACAGCCCTCTTCCCGGGGTTAGAGAACCATCTAGAAAGGACAGGTCCGGTGCAGGCCGGGGCCCTCTGCGGGGTTCGCGGTGCAAGCCGGGGGCTGCTCCGGGCGGAGGGCAGCCCCCCCGGATGGTGTCCGAGGCAGCGGGGCCGGGTGCGGGGATCCACGGACAACAAGAATTAACACCGAGCCGGGCACTGGGGCACACGCCTGCCACCCCAGCCACTCAGGAGGCTGAGATCTGAGGATCGCGGTTCAAAGCCAGCCCGGGCCGGAACATCCACGAGACTCTGATCTCCAAGGAACCAGCAAAAAGCCAGAAATGGCGCTGTGGCTCAAGTGGTAGAGCGCCAGCCTAGAGCAAAAAAGCTCAGGGACAGTGCCCAGGCCCTGAGTTCGAGACTCCAGGCCAGGTGTGGTGACTCAAGTCCGTACTCCCAGCTCCCCGGGAGCTAAGAGATGGGAGGTTGGCAGTCCGAGGCCCAGCCGGGGCGTCAAAGCTCCCACCCGTAGCCGGGTCTGGTAGCGCACGCCTGTAGCCTCGGCCGGGCGGGGCATGTCTGCCGTTCCCGGGGGTGGGGGGGGGCTCACCGTTCTGGACCGTGTGGCACAAGATGGTCTCCTCTTCCTTCTTGCCCTTGCTGGGTGAGACCCCGTGCTTCATCCAGAAGGAGAGGGTGAAGTGGTCGCTGAGGCCGTCAATGGGCGCAGAGCCCGGCCCGGCGGGGCTCCCCACCGGCACCTGCACGGCCTGGGTGCCGTTGAACCAGTAGATCAGGCTGCTGTCTTGGCTGTATTGGACCGACAGTCCAGCCGTCCAGTTGGCGTTGGGGCCGGGCATGGGTAGCAGGTCCACCTCCCCCGTGGCTGCTCCTGTGGTGGACGGGGGGGGGGGGGAGGCAGGGTCAGCTGACGGGCCCCGGGGAGGGGGAATGCCTGTACAAAACCGGGGTCACACAGGAGACCCAAGATCCGGGCACCAGTAGCGCACGCCTGTAATCCCAGGTTTGGGTACCGTAGCGCATGCCTATAATCCCAGCGGCTCAAGAGGCTGAGATCTGGAGGATCACGGTTCAGAGGCCAGCTGGGCAGAAAACAAAAAGTCCCAGAGACTCTGCTCTCCAGAGCAAAAGGCTGGAAGTGGCGCTGTGGCTCAAGTGGTAGAGCACCAGCAACAAAAACACAACTCGGGGACAGAGCCTAGGCCCTGAGTTCAAGCCCCATGACCACAAAATAGAGAGAGCGAACGAGAGGCCGAGGGGACGTGGAGGCTCACGCACCGCACAGCTTCCTCAGAGCCCGCTCCGAGTAGTTGTCTCGGTCGCAGCCTTTGCCCACGTGGCTGGTCTGCAGCTCGATGGTCGCCTGGATGTTCCAGAGAGGCTCATCGCAGGTCTCCAGGCGGATGCCCGGGAACAAAGCCAAGCTCCCGGCCCCTGGGGTGTATTCGATCCTCTTGTTCCAGCCTGCACGGTGGGGACAAGAGAGGAGAGAAGTCAGCTGCAGCCAGCCGCACACGCCTGTAATCCCAGCCAGGAGGCTGAGGTCGGGAGGATCGCCATGGGAGGCCAGCCCGGAATGGGAGAGTCCATGAGCCTCAGGGTCTCCTGTGAAGCCCTGGGGTTGGGGGGCGCAGGGGGGGTTCCTCACCTTGCCAGCTGGGCTTACAGGTGGGCTTCACCTGAATCTCCACCTCGGCGTCGTCGGCCGCCCTTTTCTTCCCGCAGTCGTAGGCCGTCACGGTGAACTTGTACAGCTTCTCGCCACTGTACTGCAGCTTCTCCGTGTTCTCGATGTTTCCTAGAGAGCGCCAGACAGACAGGAGCAGAGGTGAGGACGTTGAGTCCCAAGGGCCCAGCACAGCGGCTCACACCTGTAATCCCAGCCACTCAGCAGGCTGAAATAGGAGGATCGAGGTTCCCAGCCAGCCCGGGCAGGGCCGACCAATCGCAGAGCTTCTCCCGTCCTCTGGGCAGGAGGGGGAGGAAGGGGGGGCGGCTCACCGTCGTTGTCGATGAGGAAGGGGGTGTTGGGCGTGAGGATCTCGTAGTAGCAGATCTGACTGTACTGCGGGGAGCAGTCGCCGTCCACAGCCTCCACGCGCAAGATCCGGTCGTACAGCTTCCCCTCCGTCACCGATGCCCGGTACAGCCGGTCCACGAACACCGGGGCGAACTCATTCACATCGTTGACTCGTACATGCACCGTGGCCCTGGTCAGGCCCAGCGAGGGAGGGAGGGAGGAGGAGGGAGGGAGGAGGAGGGAGGGAGGATCAATTGAACAGATAGCCCTGGAACCCACCCATTCCCACCCTGCAGGGGCCAGAGAGAGGGCCCACTGAGGAAGAGATCCCAAGGACAGAACAGATGGTGAGCGGTAGAGCACTAGCCTTGAGCACAAAAGTGGTAGAGAGCTAGCCTTGAGCCCAGAAGCGGTAGAGAGCTAGTCTTGAGCACAAAAGCAGTAGAAAGCTAGCCTTGGACCCAGAAGCAGTAGCACTAGCCTTGAGCCTAGAAGTGATAGAGAGCTAGCCTTGAACCCAGAAGTGGTAGAGCTCTATCCTTGAGCACAAAAGTGGTAGAGAGCTAGCCTTGGGCCCAGAAGCAGTAGAGCACTAGCCTTGAGCACAAAAGTGGTAGAGAGCTAGCCTTGGGCCTACAAGTGGTAGAGAGCTAGCCTCGAGCCTACAAGTGGTAGAGAGCTAGCCTTGAGCCTAGACGAGGTAGAGCGCTAGCCTTGAGCCTAGAAGTGGTAGAGAGCTAAACTTGAGCCCAGAAGCGGTAGAGAGCTAGCCTTGAGCACAAAATGAATAGAAAGCTAGCCTTGGGCCCAGAAGCAGTAGCACTAGCCTTGAACCTAGAAGCGGTAGAGAGATAAACTTGAGCCCAGAAGCAGTAGAGCTCTAGCCTTGAGCACAAAAGCAGTAGAAAGCTAGCCTTGAGCCCAGAAACAGTAGAGAGCTAGCCTTGAGCCCAGAAGTGGTAGAGAGCTAGCCTTGAGCCCAGAAACGGTAGTGTGCTAGCCTTGAGTGCAAAAGCTCAGGGACGGTGCTGAGGCCCTGAGTTCAAGCCCCAGCACTGACACAGACAGTCTGGGGACCGCCCCCCACTCACTTGTGGGACTTCTTGCTGTTGGTGCCGTCGGGCCCCTCGCCGCAGTCATAGGCCTGGATGGTGAACGTGTGCTCCTTCTGGGCCTCGCAGTCCACGGGGCCCTTGGCCCGGATGAGCCCTTCACCCGTGGCCTTGTCCAGGATGACGGCCTCAAAGGGGACCCCGGCGCCGTGCAGCCGGAAGCCACAGATCTCGCCTGGAGAGGGGGAGCAGGGGTGAGGACAGGGAGCTCCTACCCACCCCACACAGCCCCTCCCACCCTCCCCCTCCCCATCTGTGGGGGGCAGGGCCAGGGGCCAGCTTACACCCCCCCCATTCCCATCTCCTCTAACAGGCCAGAAGCGTCGCCAGACAGAGACACTGAACTCGAACCCAGGGCTCCCCCCAGCAGCAGTCTCTGAGCCTGAGTCGCGTGTTTTCTTTTCCTTTTTGTGCGGGTACTGGGACTTGAACTCAGGGCCCAGGAGTTGTTGTGGTTGTTGGTTTCCTTTTTTTCTTTTTTTGATCAAGGCTGGTGCTCTACCACTTGAGCCACAGCTCCACTCCCAGCTTTTATTTTGGGCGCTGGTTCATGGGAGATCAGAGTCTCACAGACTTTTCTTGCCCAGGGCTGGCTTCCAACCATGATCCTCAGATCTCAGCCTCCTGAGTAGCTGGGACGGCAGGCGTGAGGCACCATGCCCAGCCACATCAAACGTGTTTACCTCTTTGCCTGCCCAGTGCTCAGTCCCCCCTTCTCCCCCAGTCCCCCCTTCTGTTCCCAATTGCTCCCACTCCTCTTCCCTCCCCCTGCCCCCGCCACCCTCACACCCACTTGGGACCCCAACCCCAATTACCCGCGTAGCGCAAGGGGGCGTCCTTGTCCAGGGCAAAG